CAACACAAACCATAGCTTCACCTTTCACCTTTCACTCTTTGTACCTGTGCAGCCCATTTACAGTGGGCGCTGATTTATTTGAAGTTGCCTGCAGGAAATCCAGCACCTTGGCTCCTGGTGCAAGTTCACACAAAACAACTTTTCAACATCACGTAAAATACAAAGCTAACAAATAAATAAATACATGGCTGCAGGCCATCAGCATCCAGCACGGCGAACAGACGGCTACCTCGCCTTCTGCAACATCAGAACTAAAGAGTAACAAAAGTCGAAATTTTAACCTTTGAGACGTGAATGTTTCTAAGATGATGCGCATGGATCCAGTGAGAATCCTGTGCTTTTAAAGACAAATACATTAAAACCTACAAGATAACACGCCTGAAAGCTGCGAGTTAACCTCCCGCTGAGCAGGATGTGCCTTGGAAAGCATCGTCACAGCAGCAACAGAAAGAACAACCTACACATCCGCCATCATCATCAACAGGTTACAGGACATGACACAGACTAGATGGCTTCAAAGTAAGAAATCCAATCAACACCAAAATATCCCGTGATGGGAACCCAGCCAAGAACAACACAGCTCTGCGTACAGTGCAAATAATCTCCTACAGCAGCGGTCCCCAACCCCCGGGCCTCGGGCCGGTACCGGTCCGTGAGTCGTTTGGTACCGGGCCGCGAGAGTTGAGGCTCAGGTGTGAAATGTCTGGTTTTCAGGGTTTTTATCGGTTTTCAGCGTTATTTTGTTATCGTTTTTATCTCTGTTTTCCTGGGTCTTTTCACGTGTTATGAATAAATCTTTTTTTCAGTACCGGTACTACTTTTATTTTGTTGTATTTATCCGCGACACCTTAAAGGCCGGTCCATGAAAATAACGTCGGGTATAAACCGGTCCGTGGTGCAAATAAGGTTGGAGACCGCTGGTCTACGGCACCTCCGAGGCTCAGCGTTAACCCTTTGCTGTCATCTGATATTTCTCATTCCTGTGATGTGTGTGAGACAAAGCAGCGCACAAGTGCTTCACTTAAACGGCTCCTGGAGCCGGCAAACTCTTACATCACAAAGTGCTGGTTTGGTTGATCATATTGACTGAGATAAATAAAGTATATCTAGTAGCTCACTGTCAGCTGAATATTTTTTTGCAGATGTATTGCTGCCATAGAATGGGTCTAATATTACCGACATGCTATTATACAGTCCCCATCAAACGTTTCAGACTATCCATTCAGTTTAAGTGTTGTTTTTAATAAACTGCATGCGCAAAAAATGCTTCGTTTCTCTCCCATTTCTTCTTGTTGCCTGTTGAAGCTCTACTAGAAACCTTGTTACGATCCAACCATGCAAAATATATATAGTATACAGTCCCCATCAAAGGTTTACGACGACTTTAGCAGCTGTTTAAGTGAAACATATCATAGCTGTTGAATTTGTTTTGTTGTTTTTTGTAACAAAGCAGCCGATTGATCGTGCTGATGATTTCATTATCGGTGCTTCACACCAGTTTGACGTCAGGACTTGGACGCTGTGACGGGATCAGAATCACCATCTTTCATCATGTCTGCGCGTTTCTACAATGAAGTGTCCAGATGAGGCCTCGCCAGCCACCTCCCTCGTGCCTTCCTGTCTGTTAGGAAGCATTTCATAATAAACAAGATGCAGCACGTGTAAATAATGGTGCCAGGGCTCAGCTAAGCGATGGCGTACTGTGGCCTTTAAATGACTATAAATGTACTAAAGAAGCATGTTTACTGTGGAGCAGCAGCAGATCTCTTTCGCATGTAGCCACCGCATGAAGTGATCAGTAAGTTCAGCCTGTGCTCGCGTCCACTCGCTGTTTTCCAAACGTCTTCCTCCCAGTTGAATTCCCGCTGTCTCTACGGGTCTGACAAAGAGCTTTCACCCACTGCTCTCAATTTAGATTTAAATGAGCATCTGGAATATTTATTTAATCCATTTATATTTAGTAGTTCTGGTATCCCACATACTCAATATTTTATAAATATCATAAATAAGTAATGTGAAATATGTAAATGGGGGAAATTGGTATAAATGCAGCAACGTGTTTAAATGAAACTAGTGAAATTAATTTAATTTGTACTGCTTGAATTTATTTTATTGCATTATGTGGATATTTTTAATATTTTTAACACTTCACAGAGACCAGAGAAAATTCAGCACCTCAAATAGTTGATTTAGCAGTGCTGTGATCACAGTTATGCTTTGTTTCGCATTAATGTGGATCAGTGATGTGGTTTGTAGTGTTTGTGTGGAGGAGCTCGCCGCCATCATCGGCCGGCGTTCAAATGTTCATTAAATTCTCTCAGTCTGCGGCGTTCGAGGCACAAGATCAGCTTTTCGTAGTTACACTTTCTGCAGATTTATTCCATTTCAACTTAAAATTATCACTGATTTTGCTACACAATTTTATTCATCTAACTCTTTAATGAGCCGCTCAGTTTAAGTACTGCCGTCTTTACATGAGGTGATGAAATAACACACTTTCTTCACATAAAGTCAGTTTTTCAGGATTTACATTGTGTAACTAAATCATTGAAAACATTAAATGACTGTTAGAGTTTTGCAGGATGTTTGTTTCATCATATTTCTGGACCTGTTCTCTCAGCACAGCTCACAGCTGTCACAGATGTTTTCCTTTGTCCTTCTTTTCTTTGATTTGTTAGAAATTAATTCCTTAAATGAGACAAATCAGATAATGGGATCATGCCTCTGTCCTCTGCCACTAAAGAATGAGACCACCTGATGAACAGACCTCTGATAACGTCTCTCAGCTTTCTTACTGAGAGCGCTGGTGCTTATCAGCACAATCAGTCTCTCGTGTTTTCTTAAAGAACATCTGTTATCTGTTTCAAAGCAGGCAAAGAGCCAAGACAGAGCTTTATCCCACAGTACCAACTCTCTCAGCTGATGCTAAACTAACTCGAGCCCTGTTTGGATGGGATTAGCATTACTGAGGGAGGTGAGGATGAAATTTACTCTGCTTCTTGGTAATTTACCCTGTGACTACACACGACGTGATAACCATCGGAAAATTAGTTGACAGTCAAAAACTCTCCATTGAATTATCTCACAGTCAAGCTCACAGATGTCTATGAAACAGATTTTATTATATATATACACACACATATTAAATGAATTAATGGGGTTTTAGATCCGCACTCGTCCATCCATCCATGATCCAAGCTGTCACAGCCTGTTAATCACTAACGACAACATTCGAACTCCACCTAATTTTACAGTCATGGATGAATAATAATAATAGTTATGGCCTCCGCTCCAGAGGCCATAACTATTGCTCAAACTTCCAGGTGAATATCCCTACATGGCAGCTTGCTAGCGCGGGGAAATGGAAACAAAATTGTAGTTGAGGAACTTTAAATTGAGCAACTATTTGCCTGCAACATACTCCGCTCTTTCTTCAGGGTGGCTTTTATCATCAGTTTTTAGTATGCAGGGGCATGAAGGCAGAGAAAATGAATTTTAGAGCAGCAATCAGGACAAATGCATCCACTGGCACACCGACGTGTGGAGAAAAGGCAAAAGAAAGGCAACACTAAGCATGTCTGTCACAATTCAGATCTCATAATGTAAGCACAAACTGACGCGGGCTCACGAGCACAGTGTGCGCACCACTTAAACACAGTATCTCAGCTCTGTTTACCCACAGCCAGAGGGAGAGGACTCTGCTCCCCCCGAGTCAGTCATCACCCTGCTCCATACTTTTAAGCCCTTTTTAAAAATTGCAGGTGAAGCGATTCTATGTTTTAATATAGACTTTGTTGTTCCTAAACACACGGTGAGTCAGTGGTTTCATCACCCTTCCTGAGCACGGTTCTCCTTCACAGTCCAAGTGATGCATTACATTTTCCAACAGTGGCAACAATGACATTTATTTGGTATAAATAGAGGGTCAAATTTGCATTTACAGCTCCCTGTTGCAGTTTGGAGCATTAATAACAACAGTTAGAGCAACAACAGTCAGAGTAGCAGTAAAAGCAGCAGCAGCACAGGCAACGAAATCTAATCACCGTAATTGTCGGGCTATAAGCCGCTACTTTTTGCACAAGCTTTGAACCCTGCGGCTTTTAGTCAGGTGCGGCTTTTCTGTGGATTGTCCGTGATTTCTGTCATATTGTAAGAGGATTTGTTTTGTTTGTTCCGCTGTTGTACGGCACTACGTTGCCTGGCGGAAGGGCATGTGATCAGACACACAGTATCTGGGTTCAAGAGTGGTATGTTGGTCACATGTCCATCCGCCAGGCAACATAGTGCCGTACAAGTAGCGCGAAAAACAAACTTCAAAGTAGCGCTACGCGTTCAGCGGGAGGCGTGGATGACGAGCGGCGATAAACTTGCGAAAAGCAAGTTATGCTCAACTCCACCGGTGGATTCTGACAGCGTGGAAAAGTGTGAAAACATCCACGATCACCAACGGATTTCAAAGGGCTGGACTGCTGCATGATGGAGAGGAGGACACCGCCACGGCCCTTCTGAGGGTGTTCGACTCTGACACTGACAACGAGGATTTGTTTGGTTTTGAAAGTGACAACGAAGGAAAGAAGCTGAGAGTGGATGACGAAGCCACCCTGAGCCTGTTCGTATCCGACACTGGAGAAGAGGACTTTGGTGGTTTTAGTGCGCAGGAAGATGGTGGTGAATGACTGACTTTTCTTCTTGTTAAAGCCGTGTCACTTCATATACCTAAAAAGTTATGCAAATATGTACCCGTAACTTGTTTTTCATATCTCTAAAAAGTTGCTACTGTTGTATTTGTGTGAGGCACACGATGAAGTCTGGACTCTTCACAGATGTAAATGTCAGAGTTTGCTTTTTAGACTATTTGGGCTGGACACAAGTAGTTAACAAAAAGATTTAATTATACGGAGAAGCTTCACAGCAAACCCTCCGCAGTGACCTCACAGCAGTGTCACACCATTAGTTGATAAGTAAGAGAATACAGCAGGAACCGTGGTCGTGCCTCCTACCTTGTAGCTGGTAATCCACAGAGATGTCCAAGGGAGTCTGCAGCAGAGCTGACCTGCGGTAAACCACGTGGACCCTGCCCTGGTCCTCCAGCTCCTGAGTGCCTTTCTCCAGCGGCTCGATGAAGTACTCATCCGATTCGGTGCGAATCATCCCAGCCTGCAACAGGTTGGCAGGTCAGTGACTGTGTAGAACGTGTGCATTAGCATGTTTCATTACTGCGAGCGAGCGTGGATAGACCCAGAAACCTCATTGCTCTGATAACATTCGTTTTATTAAGAGACAATTAAAATCTTCATGCCCCACAAAATCCCCCATCATGTATTAATAATGTAGAAACTTTGTGACAGTGTTTTCATGTAATTGTAAATTAATGCCTCAGTCTTTAAAATCCAACTAGAACATCTGCTGAATGCCAAATGCCCCCAATTTGTTTCCTCTCCCACGTATAGACACAGAAAGACGGCACCAGAATGTCCTACTGAACAATATTAAAATTAGAAAAATGCATAAAATATAGGATACAATACAAAGCAAAGGCAGACGCGCTAATGTAATATTTAGTAATTTATTCACGAGAGAATCTGGGCCTCTCATTAACTGCTTGGCATGTGCAAGTTTTTTTTTCTTTGCCATTATTAGATATTGTTGCGACTCTTTTTCTTCAGCTTTCTGTTTGCAATTATCACCTTGTTACCCAACAAAGGCTGGTGGTGGTCCTGCAGCACGCTGCATCGTTAGTAACACATTGGCACAAAATTGCTTTGTGATGGCTACCTGCCAACCTCAGATTTCCTGCAATAAGAAGCCAGTCATGTCTGTTGTTTATGGCGGATATGAGGGGTCACGCTGTCCGGCTAACGCAATAATGCCCAAACAGACCGAATGTACAACCCATCAAGACCAAATGATGGTCTGAAAAAGGACAATGCTAAACAACCTAAAACCAGTTTACAGCCGTTTCCTTAAAATGATGCTTTCTGGAATGCGAAATTATAAGGTGAAAAAAATAAGGTCCCAGATTCTGGCTTCACAATCCTTAAAAATAAAAAAAGAAAGGCTTGAAATGTTTCATGTTACCTGTAACGAATAGAAAACACATCAGTTTTATCCTTTGAATTAAAATGCAAAGCAGCAACTTTTCCAGAGGCAGCAGTAACGTATCTTTGGTGCCATGTTTCCATGTGTCTGCACGCGCCCTCCCTGACAAGCACACATGTGCAGTGGAGAAAGCAGAGAGAGCAGCAGCAACAACACAATATGACATTAGTTCATTAAGAGCACGAAGCGAGCAGCTGGGGTGGAGGTGGGCTGCAAACCGGCTTACAGGGGTGCAGCAAATGTGAGTAGGCTAACTAATGCTACGCTCGGTTTGTTATGCTCCAAAACTACAGTCAGCCATATGAGAGAGTGTGACATTTTGAGCGCACACACGCTGTACACACAGTATGCAGACACACTGTGTTAGCGCTCAGTCGATCGGTCCTGCTGCGCTGAAACTCCTGGCAGGACTAAACTCCCTCTGGCCTCTTCAACAGTCTGGTGGACTGTGCGCTAATGTTGTTAGCGACCAACCCTCACTCTCAACTCATTTCCCCACTTCCTGAGACCCCAGTCGGCTGGCACTCTATCCCCTCCTTTACACAAACGACTGGATGGATCCCAAATTAAATTCTTAGTTAAATTTACATGCAGCATCGATACTGTGTGACTGCGTAAGCGTCCCAGCTGAAAGTCTAAACCAATAAACTGAATATTCGTATCTGAAGTGCTGCAAGTGAAATGAAATGAAAACGTCTGGCAGCCACATGACGTCTGGGGGAGAAGCTCAGCGCTGTTTAATGCAAGTTTACTTCTGGCAACAGAATAAGATTCATATGATTACGTACAATAAACCAGGTTATGATGCAGAAACGTGTCACGTATGAACCGGCTCATTTAATTGGCCATCTGTGATTATGAGAGCAAAAATAGTGAAATACGATAAACGTGCGAGTGTGTTGGTTTTACTGCGTGACAGAGCTCAGACGTGGTTCGCTGCAGGGAAAAAACCTCCTTAGTTATCTTTAGAGAAACGGCGAGGTGGAGGTTAAACTCACTCATCGTGCCGTATAAACCGACTCTTTGCCTGATTCGGGGCCATTTGGCGTCACAGTGTTAAAACGCTGCAGCTTATACGGAAAACACGGTCCGTGTTTCAAAAGATGACGAGGGTTTTTATGACATCTCCCATAGAAATGTGGTGTCTGGACATTTCTGCAAGGACAAATCTAAAGTTTGCACAGATGTATAAACACTCAAACAAGAGAAGAAGAAAGAGCGAGCCAAAAACAAACGACGGTGTGCGCAGGTTACCGAGGAAACTCTGTTTTCACCATTTCTGACTTCACTTGTCTAATCAGACACTAACAAATAAGATAAATTACCGCTCGTTGAGTAGCAGACACAGACGTGCAGAAAGGATTTTTTAAAACTGCATCAGTGTTTATGTGATCCCAACAAAGCAAAACTATCACACGCAGAAGATAAACGCTCTTCACAGTCAAGTGAACTCTAGAGGACAGCTGCAAATGGAAAGAAGAAGAAAAATCCAGCGATTCCTGACGCGTCATCCTTATCAAAGAGAGTAAGTAACACGGTGGAGCCTGTAAGATAAAACCTCTTACATCAGACGAATGTTACAGACGTGCTCCACTGCCGTCTGTTTGAAAAGTTTACGTTTTTCCGCTCACTTAAACACGCTTTCTCCTCAGCTTATTTATCGCGCACCTGCAGGCGCCTGCTTGCAAACACAGATTCTAAATATTCTGTAGGTCAGCGTGCATTATCAGGCCGGAGTGCGGTTTGCCTGCTCTTCACCAAATCCTCACAGCAACTGGCATCCTGTGACCAAGTCAGCACATTCTCCGCCATGATTTATTCCTGACAGAACCGAGAACCACCTCGTCATCCTTATTTACTCTGCGCTCATCCACCACTCTGAATCCTCAGCTCGAAGCCAAAGAGGCTGCAATCTTGACAGTAACTGAGCCCGCAGGCATATCTTGAACTAAAGTGAGATTCATGCACCGTAGCTCTTTCTTATTTACCAACGGCAGGTGAAAGCCGAGGATGAAAGATGGCTGAACATCTCAGAATGTATGGGGCTCGGATACCGAGAGCTCTTTCCATCTGTGAGGTTCTTTAAGGGTCTCCGACAGGTCACGCTCCTCTATTTAAGCTCAGCCGAGCAGAGGCAGACTCCAGATCTGAATCTCTGCTCTCATAATAAATTGAGGTGCCTTTTAAAGGTGAAGCTGGAGGATCGTGCTAACAAACTGGCTGACAGATAATTGGATAAAAGCTGTTTTTCTATCAAGAGAAGCCATTCAAGTCTGACCACTTATGAAGTATTTCAGCAGCTGAAAATGCCACCTTCTTATTCAGACACCGCAGAGCAAACAATACAAACCGAAATCACAGAGGGGCGTGTGTAATTAGACCGGGTGCTGACATTTGAATCGTTTTAATTTTTGATTAAAGCTGCGTTTAAGAACAACACTCCACAGGGGAGCGTTCGGAGGATCTCAAAGAAACTAAAGCTTGAAAGAAAACAACAGTGACTGTGTGAGCTTTTACTTAACAACAGCTTTTTTTGATAAACTAGTTTCCATCTCAACTCTGTCCTGTTGTCTCCATCGCTTCTAAACCTATTTATCTAAGAACAGGCAGAAGTGAAGCAGAGAGAAGAGAGCGGCTCGTTGAATGCTACCACGCTTTAATGTAAACACTCAGAAACAGATATCTACCAGAAACACGCTCACTGCATCTTGAAGCTACAATCCTGCCTCGACACAGTGAGTAACGTGTTTTAGCGATCCACGCCGACCACAGGAAGTGCCGAGCTCTCTGGTTTGAATTGAGGAATAAGCAGTTGGATATATATGCTGCTGTCCTGAGATTAAATTGACATCTATCCCTGAAAAGCAGAGAAATTGCAGAAAAACGCACCTCTTTTCATGCTTTTTCATCCAAACACTGAAAACAGAACAGTTCTGAAATGAATTTAAGCTTTGTGCAAATTTCTATCCTCTTTCTGGCAAGGATGAGCTCGGAGAAGTGGTGATGCATTCAGGAAAGGTAAATTAGAAATCATAGCACGCTGAATGTGTCTCGAACAAATCCGTCCTTCCATTTTCTTCTGCTTATTCAATTCAAGGTAGCTGGAAGCGGGGGTGGTGGGGATGGTGGGGGGTGGTGGGAGGAGGTTGGCAGAGCCTTGCAGGGCTGCTGTAACAAATACTTTTAAACTAAACTCCATTACAGTGATGCCATCTCCTCTAACACTGCTGCACAGCCAGCCGAGCCGTCTAATGAGTCTTATATACAAAACACAGGTCACAGGGGAACGAGACAGAAGAGCGGGGCGTTTTTAGGCTTATGGGCATTAAATGCATGTTGAGGCAGATAGTATTAGAAGGAAATTCAATTCTAGTTTGAGTCCATTACTGCCTGGTTTGCATAACTACCCAGGGCTGGACTGCCGGGCATTTTCCCGGTGGGCCGACGCACTTTTTGGCCGATGGGCCATCCTGAAGGGTCAGATGTCTTAACGTGACGGAGCCTCTGCCTACCTTTGCTGAGCGATCACAGTGGGACGTCTAGACCAAAAACACCAGGGCTGATGTTTGTCCCAGTCCAGCCCTGGGTGTGTTTTCTCACATTAAAAAAAATACTGCAAGCTTCCAGTGCTGCCCCTCGGCCTCCTGGTTGACACACCTATGGTATCAGTTTGAAATCCTACATCGCCTTGTTCTCAGGTTCACATTCACATGATGAAAATATAATCTGGGATTCAAACTCATCAGATCTGTAGCAGTTCCACCTGCAGCATCAATCTGAAGCTCCTGGATCGTCTATTTCCAGAGTTATCACATTCATAAACTTGGGCTCCACGCCACCCACCCGTCTTCTTGCCCGGCGGGGTGACTACTGTACCCCATCAGCCTCTTACAGCTGGGGGGCAAAAGCACATATTGTGTGCCACCTGCCAGCTTGTTGTCATGTTGTCATTGAACCACAGCATTCGCTTTAAGCTCAACGTGGCCTTAAGAGACACGCCGACCTTTCTGAACAAAAGGCACAGAGAGCAGTGTCTCATATGTACGGGTGTGTTTTTT